TTTTTTTAAGTAGCAAGACGAAATGGAGCAAAAAGGGCACTGAGGGATTTCTTTCAGAACATTTTCATTTATTAAAATATCAAAGTAATATTCTTCAAGAACATTAATATTCATGAAGTATTATGTGTCTATAAAAGGAAACATCAATCACATTAACTTCATCTTAACGTCAGGCACTTGAAATGGAATTTTGTATCATTTAATGTCATGTTTGTATCTGTTATTGGACATTTTGAATAAAAAATCTTGTGTTTATATATCGTATTTGATCTTTTTCTTCCATTGTCGTACTTATTATGTTCATCTAAATATCGCATTTGATTTGATTTCATTTTTGGAATGGAACAACTGTCAACAAACTGCATCTACAGGATAAATAATGTTTCTGATTCTGAATATGGCGAGGGCTTTTACAACAAAGAAGTCACCATTTCTGAATGCAGAGGTTATAAAAACAGAAGGAATCTGATTTTCTTTTTGGACCTTTGCAGTGCAGGACGGCGTGCTGTGCATCGGGGCTGACCTCAGCGTCAAAAAAGGAACACTCGTCCTTCAGTCCACAGGTGACGCAGCGGCGAGGGAACAGGCCGAGGGTGGACACGCTTTAAGAGACAATAAGGTGCATTGAACACACAAAGGATCTTAAGAACACACAATACGCTGGATGTATTGAGGGTTTGATACCTGTACAAGTGTCTCTGTTGTGCAGAGGGCTCCGTGCTCAGGAAGTATCTGCAGAGCGAAAGCAGGACAAGGTTAGAGATCTGCATCAATAGTCACTGTGCGTACAGCAGATACCGTTATGCAAAAAGCTTGTTACGTGTTAATAAAAAAAAAAAATCTGAATTTGTAGTAGTGTTTACCAGGGGGAAAGCACAGATGCTGCATAAAAGACTCAGCTGGTACATTTCTTACCGGGGTAACTGTTAAAAAAGCCGTTTTTTAACTAATGATATTAGAATATAACTCATTTACAGGCTATAGAGCAACATACACACACATTTTCACATATGCAAGTAGTGCAAATAGCATTTTTAGCAGACTATTTGTCCGACAGCATCTGCCCAACAGACCACACTGTGTCTTGTTATGACATCAAATGGTGACGCAAATGTTTTTGAAACTAAATGCTCGTAGCCAGTCTTACATTATCTGGTTGTTTTCATCGTAAGCTACGATTTTGGTCACCTCCCAGTCTCCTGACGTTAGGTGCCGAACTTCGTCCTTGTCACTTCGTAGCTGGAATCAGAAATGGTTGAAAGGGTTAGGAAACAGGAGAAAGGAACAGACATGTTTCGGTGGATTGAAGTCCGTTTAGTCGTCACCTTCTTAGTGAACATGGTGATGTGGTTGAAGTCTCCCTGCCCTCCTTGTTTCACAGGCAGAGAGAGGAAGAAGCGGCTCCTGTCCTTGGAGAACAGCGGCTCCTGTCCCTGCACACAGAGGTGACACACTTTAAACAGTACCCTCCCCCCCCTTAATAATGGACCTTTATATTGCAGAGAGGATATCAAGTCGGTACATTATTGTTGTTATGAGACATGTCAGTATTGAGGCTTACCTGAAAGGACAGCCATGTCCCTGAAGAGTCTTCGTGTCTCTGAATTAAACAGAAGACAAAGGAAAGACAGCTTCAAAAATGATTCTATGAAATAAAGACTTGATCTTGAGCGCTGTAAAGCGTTTTCAAACTAAATCCTTTGTTCTTGAAGTAATGCAATTAATCTGATTTATAAATGACAACCATTATCAGAGGGAATTATGGTCTCTTATGCAATAGCTCAATGTTTGTGTAACATTCAGCTTTACTTTAAAAGTAGCAACACTTTTCTGTAAAATATCTTACCCTTTCTTGCTCAGTAAGAGATATATTGTTATATATTGTAGCCTGGATAATTACTCCTAATGCATTCATACACAGTGTTCTAGCCATTTTATTGAGTGATTTAATTTACACTATAACAAGGACTGATATTACAATAAATATCATTACAGTTTTACAATTCTCATTAGTTAAGGAGTAACTATAGTTGGTTAAAATACAATGTTTACCTTGTAAATGTGGAGTAGCAGAAGTCGAAAGTAGCCTAATGCTAAACAATTACCTCAGAATTAAAATCTGGTAAAAGTACTTTATTTTTATTATTACAGGCCATCTGTCACCATCTTTGATCCCATCCTCTGAAATACATCACCCACCTGGACGCAGACTCCGATGGTGGCTTCGCATACCGTGAGCAGTGATGCATTCTGGGAGCGGTTGACCCACCGAACTGCCAGGTGAGTATTACTGATCCACTTCACCATGGTGACGTAGAAATCACTGCAGAGGAGCCAAGAGAGGAGTCAGACTTTGTGCACAGCTGTGTGTGTGTGTGTGTGTGTGTGTGTGTGTGTGTGTGTGTGTGCAGAGGACATAGGAATATTGGGGGTAGGGTGTTTAGGGCACAAGCATAAACGTTCCACTAGGATTTCACAATAGGAACTATTAAGTCAATCAACACACATGTATTATAGCTGTTTTACTTGTGGTAATTGGATATATGCTTTAAAAGCACAAAGTGGTGGTAATATGTAATATCCTGCTGAACAAAGCATATAGCTAAGGTTAGGCTATAAACAAACTACGTCACAGTAGTGGTATGTTATGTCCTAGAACAAAACAAGAACATCTCTTTAGCTTGTGTTAGTCACAGATGTTCATATAGACTCAAACACAAAAAGAAAGATAATGTCGTAACAGAAGAAAATAAGAATATTCACAGCTGGAAAGTAAAAGCCTCTTTATTCAAATCTATGTTCAACTCACAGAAATGCATCATGTGACAGTCTGCATTGACAATGTGTGCACTGCAAACAATGTATTTGTTGCCCTACATTTTTATAGTTAGGGCACCCTTAGATGGGTTAGAAACAGATTCACACAAATATCCTATAGCCAAACATGCATTTGAAATCCTTATAATTGGGTGTTTAGGCCCAACATTTATATTTTTTTAATGTAAAATATAATTTGAATATTCTATCATTACAAAGCGAGAAGCAAGCTTTTTCTTCAGTCGGATTAGTCTGGGGTCAGATTTCAAGCCTGAGTCAACATCATCCGTCACTGATCTATATGACTGTATGGCGACATGTCCTGACATGTTCTTTCTGCAGCTGTCGGGCTGAATCCACAAGCCACATCCAATTACTCTAGCAAGGCCACACATCCTCATTTCCGTCTGCTTTCATCCTCAAATCTCATAAATGTTGGCACTACTCTGGCTACTTTCACATATCCACAAAATCTATTTCTTGTCACTTTCTTCATTTCTTTCATCTAAATTCATATCTTTCCTCCACACAATCCTTCCCCACTACTCCAGCACCAAAAACATCTACGCCCTGAATGAAAACAATGACTGGGTGCTANAAAATATATATTATATATATTATCTAAAAATAAGTGGTAAAAATAAGGTCAACATTGCAATAAAAAATAAAATAATAATATGTATATAAACACAAGAAAGCAGTGCAATATAAAATGTATTAATGTAAAAAGTAAAAGTAAAAATGGGCACATTGTAACAACAATAATATAGGGGGGGGGGGGAATAAATATGACTCTTTCCTTCACTGTCCAATCGTCAGCCGTGTTTACACTCTAAAGTAATTAAAAATGAGGAAACAGCTCTCAGATCAGCTCCAAACAGAAACTATAATGTCCCCCCTCTGTGTGTGTATACAGACCCTCCCCTCACTACTGAATGTGTTTGCACTGCGGCTTAAAGGATCGTAGAGGCTTGTTGTTGATTTTCATTGCCATTCTGCAGAGTTTGTCTAGTCTGCTCTCATGGATTCATTTTAAAGCAAAAACAAATCTTTGAAACATTTCGAACAGCTGAAGTGAGGAGGCAAAGAAAACTCATCCTCAGCCGCTAAGTCACAAAACAAACATCCAAGCTGGGGCCAGAAGACACCAGAATTAGATTACATATCATAAAACATACATGCAAAAGTAGTAAAAGTCGTCACAAAGAAGCACAGGTGTATTATTGGCAAATTATCAAAAGGTAAAGCTTGCAGAATGGCTTCTTATATTGCTATCTTTTTATAGAATAATATTGTAATCTCATTTTTCTTATCACAAAGAAATACGGCAAGAATGTTTAAATGTCATGGTTCATCATCGTGGAGCCAGTTTTAGATACCTTGCATACTACAGGATATTTCACTAGTAGTATAGTAAGTATATCATGTGGATGTTTATGTTATATTTTTAAGCTATTCATGTCTTGGGGAGTTACAATGTTATAAGGTTTAACATATACTATAATTGTATGTAAAAAATAATTCTAATCGTCAAACAAATGTATTGAAATGTTACCAAGCACAATAACATGTGGGGAAGTACGAACAAAGGAGCATGACATGAAAGAAATAACCCTAACCCAATTTTTGAGATGAATTCATTTGAATCACTGACAGCTACATTGTTATCGATAACACTGAGACGTTTGCTGTGGCAATAACAGCCAGCCAGTATTTCACAGTTAAACTGAATGTTGCTTTAACATTAGCAGTAAATCAAACATTTATATAAGGAATATAACTGGTGGAACATCCAAGATACCACATTATGCCTTCGATTGTTACATTTTTTTACATATCGGGTCTGCCTCAAAGCATAATCTTGTGAAACTACCAAACACTCCCAAAAACACACACACACACACACACACACACACACACACACACACACACACACACACACACACACACACACACCTTCGTAGAGCCAGTCGGCCAGCCCGTTGTAGACCACCCCCTCCTGCCCAGAGGAGGTGATCCTCAGAGAGGTACTCCTCACATCAGACTGGTAGTAGATGTTGTTCTCAAAGATGAAGATCTGCACAGATAAAGAAGGTCTTTGTTGAACAGTGTCACATGATGAAGCTTATTCTATTACTCAGAGCAGGTACTTTCTGTTTTCTCTTTTCCCTCTCTGATGACATTTGTTTTTCATGCTTTATCTCCAGGTGTATGTTTGCTCGTTCTCTCCCGTCGGTGTTTTAATATTTGCAAATACAAACAGGATCAGCCCGGCACACCCTGCAGGATCACCTGAATTAATCTCTCCTTGTTTTGTGAAGTTATTTGTTTTCCACAGCTCTGTTCTGAAAACCCATCAGTCACACGGCAAACATGTGGAGTTGGGAAACTTTACCTGGAGTAGAACTCAAAGTTAGTTTTCATTATCATTATTCTTTATGTAACAATATCAATGCATTGAAAGCACTCTCAAAGATAGGGACGATTTATGCCAGATTGAACCATGTTCCATCAAACACACAACATATCAACACCAGCACAACCATAACATTAGAATGAATTATCTTAAAAAGCATAATAGTCAAAGTGAAGTCTGATTGTCATTATCAAAACATTGGGAACAATAATTTAAGCGCAGGTAAAATAAAATGTATTCAAATGCTCGGTGACCGTAAAAAAACAAACAAATTATAAAAAGACAATAAAGAAAATTCATAGGAACTGCAACTCAAACAAGAATGAATAGAAAAGAGTGTAAAGATGCATCAACGTTAAAAATAAGCAAAGTAATCGACAACTGGATATTAAGCAGAAAAACTCCAAAGCTCTTTTTGAAAGATGAATTGAATGGAACAATTCTTATTTGATGCAATCTTCTGATTTTGTAAATCATCCCAAATTGCCTTTATTAATTTATTATAAGTATCAACAACAAATCTAATGCCAACATGTGTGTTTTATTTGACCTGCTGCACACTAACTGCTTGTCAAAGTGAGTAATGCTATTAATAAACAATAATGGAATAAATTGATTGTGTTATTCCAGGAACATGAGTTATTAGGAAAGAACATCTGTCTCTACGTAGCTAATAAGTCTGCGGCCCACTCGTGTGTGAGAGTTACGTAAAAACGGTCACAGCTGGAACTACGTCAGAGGAGAGCAGACTGAAAAACAGTGAGGATTTAAACAGAGACGAAATCCCTCCAGAGTCAGGGTGATTTCAGATTAAAGAACACAGCAAGGAGAGGACAACATGGAGAGCAATAGAAAGAATTGATCACTTAAAGCTTACCAGCTGCCGTGCTTGTTTTCCCCAGGCTGCGTGTTGGAGCACCGCGTTGTGCACCTCCGGAGGATTCAGCTCCCACACCTCCCTGTGAGACACAACGATTAAAAAACAGGGTTACAAAACCATAGTGGATGTTGTGAATGCCACTGTGTGCATGCATGGAAGTGAAGAGAACCGTTTGCTCACCTGGTGTAGATGTTGTACACGATGTAAGAAGCCGTGTAGGAATATCTGTATGTCTGAAAACGAGAGTTCAACTCCAGTCATGTGTTAAGTCAACACAACATAGGAGTAAGACATCTGTCGTGCCAAATGATCATATAATCATTTAAAACATATGGTCTTATACTCTGTTCAATTGTATTTTTAGTCGTGTATGTGTTTAACAGAGACATGTGTTAAGGATTTAGATTTCAGGAGGGCAAAAGGAAGTGTAAAAGGGGATATTATTATATAAATATATAAAAAAAGACAAACTCTGTCCATGAATCATTTATCAGTTTCTCTTAAGACTTTCCTCCACAACATCCATTTTAGGAAACAAGGTAACTGGAGCAGCTCCAAACTGACAAAAGCAGGAAAATAACTAGAAGAAAACTCATCAAAAACATCATTTATGGAGCAAAACGTTGTCAGTCATTTTTAGATTAAAAAGGTATAATGCATACATCCTTTTTCAAGCCGTTTCAGGTTTCTCAAATAAAGCAATTTTTGCTTCAGAAATGTCAGTTACACTTCCATGAAGTTAAGAAAAAGAGGTCTAGATATATTGACAGTACGTTTCATATATATTATGCATCAGCTTTCTCCAGCTCTTCCCAGACAGCATGTTTGAGTCATCAAATAGAAACATGTCTTAAAGGTAGGGTAGGTAATTCACTTCAGAAACACTTTTTGTTATATTCCATGGAATGCTCTTAACATCCCGATAGCGATGAATACATGAAATGCTTTGACAATAAATACATAAAGAAATGTCATCTCTGGAAGCCGTGGCGCTGTAAAAAGCACGACCAATCATCTGACCGCTAAAATAACTGGATGGCCTACCTGCCTGTCAGCCTTCCATCTGTGCACAAACTTATCTCGTGCCCTCATTGGTCATGTGCGCGTTCGTGTGTGTTGGAGGAGGGGCTCTGTAAGGAAGTCTGAAGGAAGGGGCAGACTTTTTTCGGCTTCGTACTTTCAAATTCTAGCGCACTCGAGCTGTTTTTTACATAAATTACATACCCCACCTATAATATACATATCTCACATATTCAGACACATGTGATCTGCACTGATATTAAATGAACTATTGGGGCCAAAACATCCACAAAATGCAGAATACATGTTGATAACTGCAGGACAGATGTGCTCTAGTTTTTTAACACAATGCTTCTGTCTGGATGAGAGGTTTGGACCATGGAGAGCTGAAAAGGGGAGATGAACAAAGCACACAAAGGATAAAAGAACCAAACAACAAATAGACCCACACCTGTGTCGTGCAGAATTTGTTTTGTGTATGTGTGAATAATTCACCAACAGTGGACGTGGCCTCCAACTTTCAACTATCCAAAAAAGCCAATCTTTTCAAATCAAGGCAATTCCATTTCTTTTTTTTAAGAAAACAGAACATCGAAGTGCTCTTCAAAGAACAAATGAGCATAATTATGAACCAGCACATCACACACTTGAAGACACAAAGACGGAACGGTGTGGGTTTGTTTCTGCATGCAAATAACGGAGAGCATTTGCACATAAAAAATGTAAATAACAGCCTGGCAGGAATGAAACAAAAGGCACAAAGGACGGCTGGTGATGTTGACAGCTAGTGAGGACAAACAAAACAAGGCTTTTGTGATGCTTCATTTAAAGATTTTAATTTAAAAACAGTGCTTTTTCTTTTGAATCCCACCTGTTTGACATCGTAAGCGAAGAGCGCGTACATCAGATCTGCAGAGAGCGAGTACTTCACCGCCTTGAAGGCCGTCTGAGTGAAAAGAGAAATAGTGAGCTGAACCATTGAAAGTTTAAACACACTTTCTTTTTACACTTTCTTAACCCTCAAGGACATATTTTGACATAGTTACACAAAAGCAAGTGGAAAACTAAATTGAAAAGCCATACTTGCCAACCTTAAGGAATTATAAAAGCATCTCTCTACGGAAAATGATTTAATTTGGACAGGCTAGATTGCTTTTTTGTGTAAGCTAACAACATCCTTGTTATTTCCAGCATTCATCCGCATACCTATGACCAAATAAACCGCATGCACAAACTAATGTAGCAAGTAAAAGGCCATACAACCACAAGGGAGCAGGTACTGACATTTCTGAGAGGATGGGAGACTTTTTATGGATGGCATTTCAAATATGTTTTGCAGTTAGACCCTAAAAGCCACAACTAATTTAAAAAAGGTTATTTGGTATCTTGGAGTCGGATACTGAGAGTGTGTTTTGGAGTTTTTTTGTGTTTAAAGGTCCTTAAAGTGGCCTTTTAATGCTTTTAGGCGTTTCCTACATCACTCTGTAACACTCATGCTTCTATTGGCTAGCGCTCCAACATATTGCACGTGATAGGCTAAGGGGGCGGGACATCTCTAAGGCCAGCTAACCAATCAGAGCAGACAGAGGGTGAAAAGAGGTGCTGCAGCACAGGCAGTATAATAAAGAGCTTTTTGAACATTAAAGCATGGAGACATGTCCCAGTAGAGACACTACATACTGATATACACCTGAACATCAGCAGGAGAGGACTCTTTAAAGTAGAGACACTACTAATATCGGTCTGATAA